ATTTANGTTTTTATTAAATACAATTATTTTAATTAATATCTTTTATAATAATTTCTTTTTTTAAAAATATCTATTATATTTAAAACATTTTTTTTTATTTTATATATTTTTACGAAAACCATTTAATTCCAAATATGTTTTATTTATGTTTTCCGAATATTGATACCCCAGGAAACATCATAAATGTTTAAACATAAATTAGCCAAATAAATAATGGAATAAAACCCACATAATTATATACAGAAAAAAGTTCTATAAAATAATTTTTAATTTTTCTATATTAGATATGTTTTTTATATTAATAATTTCATTTTTTTATTTTCCTAATTTTTTTATTTTTCTTCATCTAATTTTTCAATTTATTTAAAATAATTAGAATTCGTAAAATAAATTTAAGCAAAACTTGAAGTTACATAAATAAAACCCGCAAACACAAAATAAATAAAAGTACCTAAATTATTATTTTATATAATCTACATATTAATTATTCTTAAAATATTCATCGTAATTCCAGATGCAGCTGTAAAAGTCCAATAAATATTATTTAATTTATTATGACACATTCCTCAAAAAAAAATATAAATAATTAATATTTTATTTATAATACCTGATAAAGCTATTAAAGAATTAGTATTTATACTATCAAGAAATCCTTATATAAATAAAATTATAAATGTAAAAATATAACCATAGATATTATTCGCGAATATGGCAGTTAAAACTATTATTAACATCATAAAACATGTTCCTAATAAACAATAAGCTATTCTTTATGTAAAATTATATATTTTAGATAATGCAGGACAAGCTAGACCTGCTAAAAAATTTGTTATCATTATTGGCAATGGAAAATAAAAAGTAATATCTCCATAAGTTTTTTTTGGATATTATTAACAAAAAAAATCATATGCAGTTAATATTGCATTCCATCCTGATAAGCTAGCTATACCTAAAAGAGCGAAAGTAATTTTGTATGATAAAGGAATACTTTATTCTGTATTATTTTACTTATTATTTATTAATAATTACATAACGTTTTTATTTTTATTCTTTTTCTTTTTATTTTAAATTTATTACTGTTGGAATTTCAACTTTTGATTAAGTTTTATTTTATAAATTATGAGAAAGATCATCCATTTCAATATAATATTTTTGATTCATTTATTTTTAAATTATTAAATTAATTTTATATAAGTAATAGTAAATATATATACATATATATATATATATATATTTTTATATATTTAATTATAAAAATTAATTATATAAATTTATATTTATATATCTATAAATATATATATATATAAATTTTGATTAAATTATTTTTTTATTTATTATTAAAAATATATTAAAATAAAAATTAATAAATATTTTATTCTTAATACAGAAAGATATATAATTATTATTGATTAATTTTAGTCTAAAAGGAAATATATAATTAATATTTATATATTTTTGTTTATATACAACAAATAAAAAATATTTCTAATAATAATATAATTTAATATTAATATAATTTATAATTGAAAATATAATTAATGTATCTATTAATTGAATATTATATATTATTTTACTACATAAATTATATATTTAATATATAAATTTTTTTAATCTTTTTTATATTAAAATAATAATTAATTTTAAATTTTTTATAAAATTATATAAATATAAAATTATATTTATATATATAAATCATATAAATAAATTATATATATTAAAATACATAATTATATGTATATATATCTTTATTTTTTATTTATAATATAAATTTAAACAAATTTTTATTAAAAATATTTAAAATACTACTACAAATAAAAAATTATATATCTATTTATAAAAAGAAATAAAATAAAATTATTATTAATTTTTTCATTAAATATATATTAATATTATTATTATTATTTCCTATATTTAATTTTAAATTTTATTTTATATAGAATTATACATATATTTATTTTTAATAATTTATTAAAATATATATAATATTTAAAAAATATTTTTTTTAAATATGATTTTTTATTTTGTATAAAATTAAAAATATTTATATATAATTAAATATTAAATTATAAATTATTTAATATATATATATATATATTTTACTTTTTTAATTATTACTTATATTTATATTTTATTTATATTCGCAACAATTATATATATATATTATAATAAGTTCTAGAATATTTTAATATAATAAATATAACTTATGAATATAATTTTTATTTTAAATTATATACTAAATATTATTATTTATTAAATATAAATATATATATTTTCGCAAAATAAATATATATTTAATAATATTCAAAATATATATTTTTTCACTAAATTATTATTAATTTTTATTTATTATACATTAATATATTTTATTTTTAAAAAAGAATAATATTTAATTGCATTTCTATTATAATTTTTTTACAAAAAATAATTAATAATTAATTATTATATGATTTTAAAATATATATATACATATATATATATATAAACATAAATAAAATAAAATAAAAAATGACTTTTTAATTAAAAAATAATCACACATCAATCTAAACTAACCCTCATCCATAAAATATTAATATCATATAATCCCAAAAACCAAATATAATTTCTTTACTTGAAAATAAAGATGATTCTTCAGAATATTAATTACAATAAACTCAATAATAATATAATAATTTGCAAAAATACATATAAGAAATTCATTTAAAAACTCAAAATTATACATAAGAAGTAAATAATTTAGAACAAAGAAGTAAATAATTTACCATTTTTTTGTTTATTTATAAATTTTAAATAAATAAATAAAAAAAAAAGAAATTAGTCCTAATATTTACCAAAATAATATATAAAATCGCAATATATCTCCAATATTATCCAAATCTCCAAATTAAAATAAAAAAAAATTATTTTCTAGTAAACTAAAATAACAATAAGTCCAAAATTCCTAAATAACAAATTCCACATATTAATTATTATTGTATTTTTTTTTTAACAAATTTAAATTAATTAAAAAAAAAAAAAAACTAAAGGATTAAAAAATAATAAATAAATCAAGATTTTATTCTAATGTCAAAAATAAACAATCATTAATAATGTATAGAATATTTAAATAAAAAAAATTCCCCAGAATATCAAGCTGATATCAATTTTAAAGACGAAGATCAAAATACAGCACTTCATTATGCTGTTTTAAATGGAAATACGACATTAGTTACTTAGTTATTATTTTTTTCAGCCTAAATAGATGCTTAAAATATTTTTTTATAAACTCCTTTAATGTTTGCAGCTTAAATGTATGTAAAAAATAAATTAAAAATATAAAAAATAATTATATAAAAAGGGGGCATGACGATATTCTGAAAATTCTTATAAATGCCGGTTCTGATATAAATATAGGAGATGAATAAGGAAATACACCTTTACATTATGCTTGTATATATGAAAAGAAAAAAATCGTTTAATATTTATTAAAAAAGCCATCACTATAATATAAAAAAAAGAATAAATAAAATCAAGAAGCTGAACAAATAAGTAAAAATGAATAAATTAAGAAAGAATTTGAAGAATTTTTTTCTTTTTAAAAAAAATTAATGGAAACTTAACAAAAATTAACAATATATAAAACTAAACATGTAAAATAATTCTTAGAAAAAAAATAAAATTAGCAATAATAATAATAATCAGAAGAAAAAATTACAAATATAAGTACATCAGATGAAAGTAAAAAAAGTTCATTTAATGAAGAAGAAAAAATGAAACCTTCTCATTTCTAAATACATGGTTTAATAGGTAAAGGATCCTTTGGAGAAGTATATTTAGTGGAAAAAAAAGAAAATTAAATGCTATATGCAATGAAAGTTTTACATAAATCAAAAATTATAAGTAAAGATATTTATATATATATATATTAATATATATATATATATATATATATATATATATATATATATATATATATATATATTTTTGTATAATTTTATTTATTTTTTTAATTTTGTAATTCAGATCATAATTTAACTAAATATGCTATTACAGAAAGAAATGTTATGTCATTAACTAATCATCCTTTTATAGTTAAATTAAATTACGCTTTTTAGACAAACGATAAACTTTTTTTAATAATGGATTATTGTCCAGGTGGTGATTTAGGTGAGCATCTTTAAAAAGAGAAATAATTTTCTGAAAACATAGTTAAAATTTATCTTTCAGAAACTATTTTAGCATTAGAAAATTTACATAAAAGAGATGTTATTTTTAGAGATTTAAAACCAGATAATATTGTTTTAGATTAAGAAGGGCATATAAGATTAACTGATTTTGGACTATCAAAAGAAGGTGTTTTGGATCATTCTTCTGGTGCGAGATCTTTTTGTGGATCTGTAGCTTATTTAGCTCCTGAAATTTTAAAAAGGTCAGGTCATGGAAAAGCTGTAGATTGGTATTTATTAGGAGTTGTTATGTATGAACTTTTAGTAGGGATACCACCTTATTATGCTAATAATAAGTAAATTTATAATATATATATAATTAATTATTCTATAAATAAATAAAATAATAATTTAAAGAGATGATCTTTTTGAAAATATAGAAAAAGCTCCGCTAAAAATACCTAATTTTATATCAAATGAGGCTAAATCATTATTAAAATCTGTAAATAAAAAATATATTATGATAATTGATTTTTTTTAAAAAAAACAAATTAAGCTTTTATAAAGAAACCCGGCTAAAAGATTAGGTTCAGGAAGTTAAGATGCAGAAGAAATAAAAAGTCATCCATTTTTTCAAGATATAAACTGGGATGATGTTTATTAAAAAAAATTAAATCCTCCAAATCCTAAAAGAAAGCTAAGAATTAAAACAATTATAGATGATAATATTTTTAAAGAAGATGAAGATTATATTGAAACTTAAAATTATATAGCCGGATGGTCATTTGCATGTCCTTGAATAATTTATTTTATATTTTCTCTTTTTTAAATAAATTATTATTATATAAATAGGGATACATATATATAAATATATATATTAATTTATATATTTATGTATGTAATTTATAAGAATATTTATATCTTAACAAAAATATATGAAATTTTTTTAAAATAAATTAATTTAATAAAAAATATACATATAAAATAATAATAAATATATAATAAGATTTTAAATATTAATTAAATTTATAATTTTAATATTTTTATAAAATATATATTATTTGTATATATATAATTTTTTATGTCTATTAATTATTATGAAAAAATTAAAAAAAATTAATTAATATAAAAAAATATTAATTATTCTTATAACAATAGAATTTTATTATATTATTAATTAGAATATTTATTAGAATATAAAGATATATTAATTTAATTTTATTATTAAATTATTAGAATTTCTTAATATTTATTGATTTAATAATAATTATATTATGATAAAAAAATATATTTATATATATATATATATATTTATATATATATAAATATATATATATTCATATTTATATATATTTATTTAATTTTTAGATTTATTTTACTAATTTTTATAATTTAAATTATACTAATTTTTATAACTTAAAAATCTTTAATTTATTAAATAAATTAATAATTAAATATATTAACATTATATACATTAAATAAATTAAATTATCATAAAATTTTTGTTATATTTATAATAAAAATTTTTATTAATTTTAAATTAGAAAAATGTAAAATAATACTGAAAATTAATAAGAAATCCAAAATTTTTTAAAATCTTAAAATTTTTACGAAATATTAAATATATCCGAAAAATCTACAGATTAAGAAATAAAATAATCATATAAAAAGCAAGCTTTGAAATACCATCCTGACAAAAACTCAAGTTAGAATTCCAAAGAAATATTTAAAAAAATCGCATAAGCCTAAGACACTTTAATAGATAAATAAAAAAGAGCTTCAATATGACCAAATTCGTCAAAACTAAGAAAAATAAATGAATTCTTATAATAATATTAAGAAGAAGAAGGATTTGAATGGCATTTATTTGATATGTTTTTTGAATAAAATAATTCAAAAAAAATAATACCAAAAAAAACTCATTTTTATATTTTGGAATATTAGTATTTTTTTAGCAAGTTTTTTATTTATGTTTTTATGAAAAAAACTCTTTTCACATGAGTATTCTATTTTTTATAATATCCCATAAACAACAAGATAATTATAATTTACATATTATGTTTCCCCTTTATACTTTGAAAGAATAAAAAATGATTAATTATATTTTATTTAGACTGAAAATTATATAGAAGATTTTCATTTGAAAAACTTAATATTATCTTGTGATAAAAATTCTAAAATTTTTAATAATATTTTATAATAAATGAAAAATTTAGATAAGAAAAGTTAAGAATATATTGATTTACAATAATAATTAAATAGTATTAGTTTAAGAAGTTGTGATAATGTAAATAAATATGAATAAAAATTAGGAAAAGATCTTAGAATTTTATATTTCATGTGATTTTTTTATATTTTTTTAATAATATTTTAATTCTTTTATTTATAAATAAATATTTATACACATTCTATGTGTTTTTTTTAAAATATTTTAAATTTTAAATTTAAAATTTAAAAAAAAATATAATATTACTTTTTTTATATTTATTAAGTAAATAATATATAATTTATATTTAAAAAATAAATATTATATTTTTATTAAATTATTTATTTTAATTATAATTTTTTTTTAAATAATTCTTTATTTTTTGTTTGAAAAAATAAAAAGAAAAAAACTATAATTAAACAATTAAATGCAATAAAGTTATACAATATCAACAGAAAGTAAATTTGAGGATTTATAAAGTTTCAATAATGAGAATACAGAATTAAAATCATATATATTTGAATTAGAAAAAGAAATATAGCTTTTACAACCAATAAACATTTAAAAAACAATAAAAAACTTATAAACATAAATATAAGAAAAAGACTAACAAATCAATGTATTATAAAATAAGTACAAAAAAATAAAAATAAAATATTATAAAAAAAATATAAAAAAAATAAAAAAAATATAAAAAGAAATAATAAAAAAATAATAAAACATAGATTAGAAGAGGAAAATTATGTATCTTTACTATAAAAATATGAAGAAAATAAATAATAATTAAATAACCAAAAATAAATATTTTAATAATAAAAAAATCAATTATTAGAAAAAATATATTAATAATAAAAAAATCAATGTAATTCATAAAAAATAAAAGATATTGTAAAAAGAGTATATGTTTTTGTAGAAGATTTAAAAAGTTGTTAACTATATGATTAATATAAAGTAATGTTTTTTGAAGGATTTGAAAAATAAATCGATTAAATAAACTCTGATTTTATAAATTTAGATTAAGTAGAGAATTTTATTGCTTCTTGTTTAAAATAATTAAAACTTTTTATGAATAATTAATATAAATTAAATGTTTTTTAATAAAATAATATTTCTTTTGATAATACTGTAATAATTTTTTTAAAAAAAATAAATAAAATAAAATAAAAATAAATAAAGGAAATTGATATATATAATGAATTATTAGATTTTTTTGAACAAAAATAAATGAAAATAATAAAAGTTTGTGAAAAAATAATATTTAATTATCAAAAAATAATACAAAATTAAAATTTAAATGAATATACGAACAATTTTTTTTAAAAATTAAAAGAAATTCTTAAAAAATAAAAACTTAAATACAAATCAAAACTATTATTGGAAAATTTAAACGGAAAAATTAAATAATAATTATAAAATAATATCATCTAAAATTTAGATTAACTAAGAAATTAAAAAATAATAATAATAAAATTAAATTTTCATAATTAAAATCTGAAATAAGTATTTTATATATATATATATATTTTTTTATATATATTTTATATATTTTATTTTATATATATAAAATATATATATATAAAATATATTGTTATTTGTATTTTTTTTTAAATAAATAAATAAGATAATTTAAAAGAAAAAAATTATTTAATTTAAGAAAAAATAGAATATAATTGTTCTACAGAAGAAAAGAATACTAAAGAACTAAAAGAAATAGATAAAAAATACTAAAAATTAAACTTTTTATATTAAGAGTAAATAAAAAAAAATAGAAATTAGTAAAATTAGAACACTAAGAAGTATTTCTAATATATCTTAATAATAAATATCTATAGATAATAGCGATAAAAGATATGAAAATTAATAAGTTTCTTATGATTTTTCCAGAAATTAAAAATAAATTAAAACTTTAGCTTAAAAATTAGAAAAAAAATAGAATAAAAAAAAAACTACATATATAAATTATCTTATATATATATATATATATTTTCTTTTAATTTTTGTTTAAATAAAAAATAAATTATGTTCGTTAGAAAAAAATACAAATATATATGAAACAAAAAAATTATACATTAATTTATAAAAAATAAATATATTATTTAAATAGAATAAAAAAAAATAAAAAAATGAATAATTTAAACTTCGATTTTTAATTTTATAAATTAACATAATCATCAAAAACCCTAAATTTAATCAAATCTTTACAAGCAGAATTTTCAATAACATCTAAATCTAAAACATAAAGAAATTCAGATGAAGATTAAGTGTTATTTTTAGGTTTAATTGAGTAAAGTTTATTATTTAATAAAAAATAAAAAAAAAAAAATTTTTTAAAGAGTTCTTTAATGGAAATAAAACAATATAATAAATGAATAAGAATTCACTCAATTATATAATGAATGGTTGAAATAAAAAGGAATTATCATCGAAGAGAATTTAATGAATTTTTCATATAATCAATTAATTTCAAGTGATGAGATTTTAGATTATTTTAGAATAAAATAAGGAGCAAACTATAATTTAGAAGAAAATGTAAAAATATAAAAATAAAAATAAATAAAAATAAAAAAATAGTTAACTTTTTATATGGATATTTTGAATAATGAATTAAATAATTAATTACTTATGTCCTAAATAACTGAAGAAAAGATAGAAATGATAGAAGAAATGTATATTTTATTTGATGATGAAGGAATAGGAAGTATATAAGATATTCAACTTTTATATTTGGCAGGAATAATATAAAACATGAAGAAAAATACAGGAAATAATTTGACTAAAGAATATGAAGAAATAACATCAAAAATGAACGTTTTTAATAATCGTGTATAAATAAAAAGTAAAAAAAAATTCATATTTTAACATATTTTGTTTTAACAAAAAAACACAAAAAAAAAAAATAACAAATAACAACAATAAAAACAAAAATAGATTTCTTTAAGAACATTTAAAGTTTTTTCCTTTTTTATAATGAACATTAATTATAGGAAATACTTAAAAATTGTTTATCCTTTTTAAATAAAAATAATTGGAATTCTTTTCCTTAAATAATTAACTAAATTTTTCAAAAAACAATTACTTCTTAAAATAATGTCAAATGTAAAAAACAAAAAAAAATTAAATACTTTTTTAATTAAATAAAAAAAAAGAAAATAATCTCATTTATATTTTCTTTTCTGAATATTTCCTATAAACAATAATATATCACTCTAAATCTTATTTCGAAATCTCAAATATTCCAAAAATCTCTAAATTACTTTTTGGAGTTTATTTAGAAAATTTCAATGACAAAATTCTATAAAATATAAACCTTAAACTTACATAAAATCACTTCTCAGCTTTTATATTATAATTTTAAGAAACTATTTTCCAAATTATTTCTTCATTTGAAAATAAAAAAATATCAACATTTACAAAAATAAAGAGACCATAAACATCTATGAATTAAAAAATAGAAAATACAACAACAATAATAGTCGAAAATTTAAAAAGAAACCATATATGAATATTTAAAAATAATAATCAATTAAAAAATAAATAGAAAAATCTCCAATAATATATTTTTAATAATAAAAAGCTGAAATATAATATTAATC